AGAAATCTACCAGGTATAGTTCTTTCTTAGTGACAGAAGGTGTAAGATGTGATAATTTTTCTTTGATTAAAGAACAAACCTGGAGGCATCACATTACAGGACTTCAAATTATATTACAAAGCAGTAGTTACCACAACAGTATAGTGCTTATATAAAAGGAGGCATATAGATCAATGAAACGGAATAAATAACCCAGAAATGAAGTCAAATACATACAGCCAACTCATCTTTGGCAAATCATACAAAAACATAAATTAGGGAGTGGACACCCTATTCAATAAATAGTGCTAAGCAAACTGCAAGCCACATGTAGATGAATGAAACTGGATCCGTGTCTCTCATCTTACATAAAAATCAACTCAAGGTGAATCAAAGACTAAAATATAAGACATAAAGCTATAAAAATTCTAGAAACAACATCAGAAGAACTCTTCTAGATGTCAGCCTCGGCAAAGAATTCATGACTCAGGCCTCAAAATCTAATGCAACAAGAACAAAAATAAATCGGACCTAACTAAACTAAAAAGCTTCTACACAGCAATAATAATAATCAGAGAAAACTGACAACCTACAGAATGGGAGAAAGTATTTGTAATCTATGCATCCAACAAAGTGCTAGTATCCAAAATCTACAAGGAACTCAAATCAGTAAGAAAAAAAATAAAAAACACAAATAATCCCATCAAAAAGTGGGCAAAACATATGAGTAGACATTCTCAAAAAAAAAAATGGCCAAAAAATATATGAAAAAATCCTCAACACTACTAATCATCAGGGAAATGAAAATCAAAACCATGAGATACCACCTTACTCCTGCAAGATTGGCCATTATTAAAAAGTCAAAAAACAAAAGATGTTGGCATGGATGTGGAGGAAAGGGAACACTTATACACTGCTGGTGGGAACGTAAATCAGTACAACCTCTGTGGAAAACAGAATGGAGATTCCTTGAAAAGCTAAAAGTAGATGTAACATTTGATCCAGCAATCCTATTACTGGGTGTCTACCCAAAGGAAAAGAAGCCATTGTATGACAAAGACAGCTGCACACATAAATTTATAGCAGCACAGTTTGTAACTTTAAAGATGTAGAAAACCAACCTAAGTTCCCATTGACTAATGAGTGGATAAGGAAAATATATACCATAGAATACTATTCAGCCATTAAAAGCAATGAAATTATGTCTTTTGCAGCAACTTGGATGAAGCTAGAGGCCATTATTCCAAGTGAAGTAACACAGGAGTGGAAAATCAAAATCTCTATGTTCTCACTTATAAGTGGGAGCTAAGCTATGAGTAAACAAAGTCAGACAGAGTGATATAACAGACTTTAGATAAACAGAAGTGGGAGGGTGGGAGGGAGGCTAGGGGTAAAAAAAAGTACACATTAGATACAATGCACACTATTCAGGTGATGGGTACACAACAATCTCAGAATTCACCACCATATGATTCATCCATGTAACAACAACAACAACAAAAACCCACTTGTACCACAAAAACTACTGAAATAAAAAATTTTTAAAGAAGGAAAAAACATTTTCCTTTGCTTTGAAAAGGACGTCCTAGCATGTACTGGACCACTGAACTCAAAATTTTAATTATGTGACAATCTCATGGTTCTCTATAGAGTTTATTCCTTTTCTTGAGAGCACATGTGTACTAATAAAGTAATGCTTGCCACTTCTTCATCTGGTTTGACAGCATAGGATTATTAACAGACCATTAAGACCATCTATAAAATGTCCAAATGGTCCAGGCCTCTATAGGCTATGTTATGACAAAGAGTAACACAACAAATATATACAATGTCCATTCCAAGTGAACGCTAACTGTTCCCAATTCTCCTTTCTGAAAAAGATGGAAAAGGAAAGATCAATGATCACATATTATATACCCATGTCTATATTAATCTGCTCTAGCAAAGATACCATCTTTGGCAAAGCAGCTGCACTTTAGACTACTGCTGGGATAAGTTCACAATAGTCCATTGGTATTCTCCATGAAGTGACTAGCTTTTATAGGTGACACACTGGTGAATTAAATGGAGGTAGAATGGGAACTACTTCTCTATCTTTGGGGTATTTTTTATCCTACATAATGCAGTATAATTTTTGAAATACTATTTTAGGTAGAGTGTGGTAGCTCACAACTGTAATCCCCACACTTTGGGAGGCCAAGGCAGGTGGGTCACTTGGGACCAGGGGTTCAAGACAAACCTCACCAACATGGTAAAACCCTGTCTCTAATAAAAATACAAAAATTAGCTGGGCATGGTGATATGCACCTGTAATTCCAGCTACTGGTGGGGTGGGGTTATGGGGCTGAGGCAGGAGAATTGCTTGAACATAGGAGGTAGAGGTTGCAGGTCATGCCCTTGCACTCCAGCCTGGGCAACAGAGTAAGACCCTGTCTAAAAAAAAATACTATTTTATACTGGGGGACAGGACAGTTTCAGTGACCTCCTTACTATAATACATGTAACCCACAGGACAAGGAACAAGTGTGGAGTTGTACCAACTACCAAGTATATCTTTTCCAATTATTCATTCAGGAAGTGATGTATAGTCACTGGGAGGTTGTCATTTGGTGAACCCAACATGCACCTGATCTGAACTAGGACTCCACATACTACCCACATTCCAAATGCCTTCACTCAAAAGAGCAGGGACGACCCTTCAGGAATCTGGGAGTAAATGTCAACTCTGTGTCCAACAGTCCTTTAAATACTGTGATATTCCTTTTTCCTGGTGTTTGTGCAAATAAATGGTCACAGGTACGTTTGAACAAAGTACTGGTAGATCATTACTGTGTGTGTGAGCACTTAGAGTTGTTGCACAGTCCTCTGTTGTATCATTTATTAAAGCAGCCATGGTGATGCTATGTCCTCCTAGCCCCTCCCAGAAAGGTAGGGTTAGGAGTGATTTAATATCTTCTGGAGACTTTAGACATTTTCTTCTATATCAGAGAAATTTTGGCATTTTAACTTCGCTGATTTTAGTGACAGCCTACAATGAAACAGCTGAATGGATATACATATACAATAAATTTTTGAAAAATTAATTGACCCCATAAATGCTGGGTTTGGTGGTGGTGATGGAATCACCCAGTGGAGGGCCCACAAATCGGGATAAAAGTAAAAGAGCTATTTTGATACGTTTTATTCCCAGAGACACATTATACTGCACAGCTTATGAGAACAAACTCTGAATTCAAACTAGCAGACTTTGAATCAAGACTTACTACTTCATAACCTTGAGGATATTTAACAACTTTGTGCTTCAGACACCTCCTCTCTAAAATGGGGATGAGAGAATCTGCTTCATAAGATTCAAATAAAGCACTTAGAACACTACCTGGACCATTAGAAGCACTATATGTGTAACATCAGTTATCAGCTCCCCAGGACACAAATGCTGAAAGATAATCAGAGCGTCATTACCTCATGATGGAAGCATCAATTAATAGTTTTGTTTCTATATTTTAGTAACAATGTTAGATTAAAAGCCACAGTATTTTGGGGTAAAGAATTTTCATACATATTTAATAAATATTTTAATTTTTGCTGAAATATTTGAAGTTTATCCTTCTAAAAAAGAGGCATAAATATCTTAGTGTAACTTATGTAATTCACCAGTCACATTTTTGTTTCCCAAAAGAAGAAACATCATCAACTATAAGTAATGGAATGAACTTCAAACCTATAAAATAGAATTTAATCAAGGGTCTCTGTGTATACTACCACAGGCAAAAGAACACTGTTATAAGTTCAAGCATTTTTTCATAATTAGAGGAATGATTTAAAAATTCAGCTTTGCTAGGACTTGAACAAGGAAGTGCATGGTGGTGGTAGACATTAGAGGAGGATTCAGAAATCATAAAGCATTAAATGCTGATGATTTACTGGTAGGAAGGAATACAAATGATGGTTATAAAGCTCTCTTTTCAAATAGACTCAAAATTAGACCAACAGGAAAAGCTGGAAGATTGGAATATGAGCATCAAATCAAAAACACAATCTGAAAGTGAAAGGGCACTGAACTAGCAACCAGGGTTATGGTTTCTGGTGCCTGGCTCTCTTTGATGATTTCCAGCTGTGTGCCTTTGGGCAAACTAGTCACTGCTCAATTCTTAGATTTTAAGATGTGTAATTTCAGGGGATTAGAACAAACAGTGTTGGTAATCCACTCTAATTTTAAATTTGAATATTCTAAATATAGGACTAACAATTTTCCAGATAGCCAGAGAAGCCTGATAAGGAAGCAAAATATATAGACACTGGAGCAATAGAAAGCAAACGCTTTAGGAACAAAAATAATTAAAATAGAGAGTGTTAGGTACTAAACAGGCCAGGCACAGTGGCTTATGCCTGTAATACCAGCATTTTTGGTGGCTGAGGCAGGTGGATCACTTGATGTCAGGAGTTCAAGACCAGCCTGGCCAACATGGTGAAACTCCATCTCTACTAAAAATACAAAAATTAGCCAGTCATTGTGATGGGCACCTGTAATCCCAGCCCTCAGGAAGCTGAGGCAGGAGAATTGCTTGAATCCTTGAACAAGAGAGCAGAGATTGCAGTGAACCGAAATTGTGCCATTGCCCTCTAGCCTGGGCAACATAGCGAGATTTTGTCTCCAAAAAAAAAAAAAGGAGACATGGGGAAAAGAGATAGTAAACAGATTAATTGAATGTGTAGTTTGTCTATCAATAGAATAATCTAATAGAAAAAAATGATGTAGTATTGTTATTTGTTCAATTACATGGCACTCTCCTAGAACAAGGTCTTTTAAAGTAGGTTACAAAAGGTGTAATATTTAATATTTAGCACTTTGATGCACACTGTGCCAAATACCATCACTTCTAATTTAGTGGTGAAATTGTTACTATAATTTAATAGATTTTCAGTCATATAATATGGCCTGAATCTTCTTCAGCATTTGTCTGAAATTGCATAGTATCTTTTATACAACCGGTATGAGAAATAATCCTTAGTTACACATCTTCATAGCCAACACATTTATACAATCTTTGTAAAACGTACAAGACGACTGCAGAGTCTCCTCATTGCCACTTTCATGTCCTTGTTCCTAAATGTGTAGATGACTGGATTCAGAAAAGGAGTAATAAGTGCATCAAAAATAGCCAGATATTTATCCAGGTGTGATGTGGGAGAAGGCCATGTGCAGAAAAACATCAGTGGTCCAAAGAACAAGACGACCACAGTGACGTGAGCTGACAGGGTGGAGATGGCCTTGGATAAACCACCAGAAGAATGTTTCCAAACAGTGAACAGGATGAAGATGTAGGAAATTACCAGTAAGACAAAGGAGCCCACAGAAATGAGTCCACTATTGACAGTGACCATGAACTCCAGTTCTTGGGTGTTTGTACAGGCAAGTCTGAGGAGCCGAGGGAGGTCACAGTAAAAACTGTCTAAGATATTAGGGCCACAGAAAGGTAAATCTATCACAAAAACTAACTGGACCAATGAGTGAATAAGGCCAATGATCAAGGAAGTGGCTAAAAAATATAGGCATGTTCTTGGGCTCATGACAGTTAGGTAGTGAAGAGGTTTACATATGGCCATATATCTGTCAAAGGCCATGGCTATGAGCAGCACCATCTCAGTGCCCCCAACAGCATGGTTAAAGAAGATCTGAGTAATACATCCACAAAAAGAGATGGCTTTGTTCTTCTTGAAAATATCACAAATCATCTTAGGGGCTGTAATTGAGCAAAATGCCATATCAATGACTGAGAGGTTAGCCAGGAGGAAATACATGGGGGAGTGCAGATGAGCATCCATGGTTACAGTGAACACAATGACAAGGTTTCCCATCATGCTTGCAAAGTAGAACAACAAAGAGAAAACAAAAAGTAGAAGCTGAATCTCCCATGAGTTGGTGAGTCCCATGAACACAAATTCTGATACTACAGAGTGATTCATTACATTCATTGCCTCAGACTCCAGGATCAGTTTTCATTTACTTACCTAAAGGAAGAAAGAAAATGAGAATGAATTACCTAGGCAGGTATTCATGTTCAATAAAGCCTCCAGCCATGAAAATAAGTATCATATTAACATCTCACACAGCCAAATAATCTTCATCACATGCATGCTGGACTTCTACTTAAAAGTGTCAGCTGGCTGCTATTTGGCATTTCAAAACTGCTACTAGATTACTTCCATCCTTGGACCTATTTCTCTTCTGCTTTTGTGTTAGATAAACAGTTTTTATTTGATCCTTCCCAGGATGTTCTATTCGGGTGAGTTATAAGGACACCTTTAATAGTTTTCACTATGATTTTTTATGAATGGATATGATTTCAGCCAGTCATGTGAGCTACTTAACAATTATTCATGCACAGAATACAGGTTTCAAAGCCTCTTATTTATATTACTTGATTAGATTTTAGAAGTTTCCATTCTTTTTTAAAATTTCAAAATTTCTCCTATTCTATTCTTCAATACACAACATCTAATTCTCAAAATCCCAGCCAAATTATCTCTTATGTGTGAAATCTTCCCAATCTGCCCAAGTTTATGTATTCTCATTACACCATTAGCATTTATTGTTCTCTGCTTTTTACAGTTATGTAAATGTCCATTTCTCCAATTAAAATGTAGACTCTTGGGTATAGAAGCCTTGACTGATCCATAAGAGTAGCTCCCACCACCATCACAATCACCAATTTTGGCCAACATAATCAGGCACATAATAAGTGTATCACACTTGTTGAATGAAGGCATAAATTAAAGGGACTGAAGAATGACACTGGAGTCAGGAGAGTACATCCTAATTCAGTAAGGTTTTCATTAATAGTATATTAACAGCTTGCCAATCAGAAATTATCACAGTATCCCTATTTCAATCCTGTGCTTATTTAACCAAGGAACATTTACGTAAGATATCATAAAAATAAATATGGGTATTATTATTCATTTTAAATAGTCAATAAAAGGTTTCTAATATGGTTCAGAAGAGAAGAAACCATTTTATAAGTGATTTTTAAGGTCAATTTTCATATAAAATATATGATCTGAAACAAATAATCTCCTCTACTGTAGATATAAACACCCAGTGGATATCCTAAGACAAAAACCATGTCACATAAAGGCAGTCTCTTTATCAAAATACACTTGGAGTGAATAAAAGTGACAGAAATAAAACATTGAATGAAAAGAGCCAGACAGTGTCTATATCTGCACTCTGAAAGAAGATGATGATTGAGTCATGGAGATTAAGTCCAGAAAATAAACTAAAGAATGGTGCCCAGCTCCCAGCATGGGGAGGTGTGACAATATTACAGTTATTTAAGGATGAAGAACTGCCAGAAATAAACCATTAGAGTTTCACTGTTCAATGGAGTGTTTCTGATTTAGTCCAACATTTATATTTCATAAATAATTCATAAAGGAAGAAATATAGGGAGTGATCTGCTCAGCCTCACAAAGATAATTGGTGGGAAAATGTATAATGGAACCAAGAACTTTTGACTCCCATTCAAAGGTCTTTACAGCAAATACTTGTTACATTAGTTTACTATTGCTGTTCTAACAAGCTACTACAAATCTAGTGGCTTACAACACACATACACACTTGTTATATTCTTTTTTTTCCCCATTTATTTTATTGCATTTTAGGTTTTGGGGTACATGTGAAGAACAAGCAAAATTGTTGCATAGGTACACACGTGGCTGTGTGATTTGCTGCCTTCCTCCCCATCACCTACATCTGGCATTTCTCCCCTTGCTATCTCTCCCTAGCTCCCCCCCCACCATCCCTCCCCTATTTCCCCCCAACTGACCCAGGTGTGTAGTGCTCCCCTCCCTGTGTCCATGTGTTCTCATTGTTCAACACCCGCCTATGAGTGAGAACATGTGGTGTTTGATCTTCTGCTCTTCTGTCAGTTTGCTGAGAATGATGGAAACAATCATTAGAGTGAATCGGCAACCAACAGATTGGGAAAAAATTTTTGCAGTTTACCCATCTGACAAAGGACTGATATCCAGAATTTACAAAGAACTAAAACAGATTTACAAGAAAAAAACTAACAAGCCCATTCAAAAGTGGGCAAAGGATATGAACAGACACTTTACAAAAGAAGACATACATCAGGCCAACAAGCATATGAAAAAATGCTCATCATCACTGGTCATCAGAGAAATGCAAATCAAAACAACATTGAGATACCATCTCACACCAGTTAGCATGGCGATCATTAAAAAATCTGGAGACAACAGATGCTGGAGAGGATGTGGAGAAATAGGAACACTTTTACACTGTTGGTGGGAGTGTAAATTAGTTCAACCATTGTGGAAGACAGTGTGGCGATTCCTCAAGGACCTAGAAATAGAAATTCCTTTTGACTCAGCAATCCCATTACTGGGTATATATCCAAAGGATTACAAATCGTTCTACTATAAGGACACGTGCACACGAATGTTCATTGCAGCACTGTTTACAATAGCAAAGACCTGGAACCAACCCAAATGCCCACCGACGATAGACTGGATAGGGAAAATGTGGCACATATACACCATGGAATATTATGCAGCTATCAAAAACGATGAGTTTTGGTCCTTTGTAGAGACATGGATGAACCTGGAAACCATCATTCTCAGCAAACTTGTTATATTCTTACTGTTCTAAAGGAAAGAAGCCTAAAATGAGTTTTCAGAGCTAAAATCAAGGTGTCAACAGAGCTGCATTCCTCCTGGAGCTTCTGGAAAATAATTCATTTCCATGCCCTTTCTAGCTTCTAGAGGATGCCTATATTCCTTGGTGCATGACTTTCTGCCTCTTAAAAGTGCATCACTCCAACCTGTACTTCTGTCATCATATCTCCTCTCTGACTCTTCCTCTTATAAGGACCCTTGTAATTACATTGGGAAGGTCTCGATAATCCAAGTAAATCAAGATTCTTAAATTAATCATACCTGTACCTTTTTGCTAGATCTAGGAACTAGGACATAAACATTTTTGAAAGCCATTATTCTATACAACACAGAGTTTTTGTTTTTTTACTGTGAACAAGTGTTTTAGGGGAAAAAGGAAAATCTTAAAGCAAAGCAATGAATCTGACAGAGGGATTTCAAGTAGCCTGTCAGGAAGGTGGAAGAGATATTGAGGTCACAGGAAGAGATAGGACATCCTGACTTTTGCCCTGTAATTACACATTGGTGACTTCTGACTCCAGTTACATGTAGGACCAAGCATGGACCACTAATGACTGTCAATGATAAGAAAACAATGATCACTAGTCAAACAATGTGTTCTTAGAAAAATAGTTATGCTAGGTATACAATTAACTCCTGAATGGTTCTCTGAATGATTGTTGTTCATTAATTCAAAAAAGTATCTTGAGTGCTCAGGATTCCAGACATGATTCCAGAGGTTGAGACTATACCATTGACAAGAATTCTTGGTTTTGTGGAATCCATATTCACCAAAGTAAATGCAATTTTGGTGTCACATACAGATTTTCATTCCACAGAAATCCTACGAACATTTGAAGAAAGTCTGTAATTTATCCACTACCTGGGAGTCTCAACCACTCTGTTTATTTCTAATTCAATTTCCACTGAGACTTTCAGGAGGTCTCAGTTTTCTGACTTCTTCCTTTATCTGAATTCTTACAACTATAATTTCTTTAATTTCCAGTGGGTTTTATCCAATAAATATGCATTGGTTTTTATCTCCACACATACACAGATAAATACAGATAAAACACATGGGGTCAGGTTTCACATACATACCATGATTCTTTGTACTGTCTATAAAGCAACTCAAAAACAATGCTGGGAAGATTTTTTGGCTTATACACTCATTCATTCAACAAGTTTATATGCTGTATCTATCAAGTGCCTAACAATATGCTATACCTTAGAGATGATGTAAAGGTGAAAAAATCATTAATTATGTCAAATAAATTAAGAAATTGAACATAAATGAGAATCTAAGGTTATCAGAACAATTTTAAGAGTTGTACAAATCATTCTATGATTTATATCTAAATTCTAATGACCTGAACTATAAACTAACCAAAACATGTCTAGAAATGGGCAACAAAGACAAAAATAAATCCTTCTGATCACTGAGAGAAAAAATTTCCTTCTAGCAAAAATGCTATTAAGACTTCCAGGAAATAGGAATAAGAATATGCTATGAACTGGAAATATATATGGTACTTCCTCCAAACTGAAATTTGAATAGCAAAACCTGACAACTCAGAATTGCAAAAGAAATAATGGTAAGCTTCACTTTTAATTACTTTACAAGGAAAAGAACAAAACTAAAAGATGATTTGTTATGTAATTCAAAAAATATGAGATTCTGTGTAAAGTTTACTCAAAGACAGAGACTACATGCTAATTTAAAATTAAATACATTTTTAAAATCAGAAAGGAAATAGAAAAAAGAAAAGGGGAAATTGAATTATTGAATTCAGCAGGAGATCAAAATGTTCATTAAGAGGAAAATAAGGATAAAGGGGAGGAGATGGCAGAGTAGGAGTTTGTCTAGAAGTGCAATATTAAAAGCTCCAGTGCCCCAAAATATTTCCTTTTAGCACTAGAGTTGCTTTCTTTCAGGTTAACATACTTCAGCATTGGAGTTGCTTTCTTTCAGCTTAACATACTGAGGTCCCTAGTTTTGCTTATAAAATGGCTACAGGAAGGATACTCCACTAAGCTGTTGCAGACAAATAAAAAATTACCAGCTGGCTTTCCTTAGTGGAGATCTTATGCATGCAAGACATGAGAGTTTTAATAATGAAGAAATAAGTGATCCATTTTTAAGTTGAGTCATTACCCAAGAGGGATGACAAAGGATGGGTTGCTTCAGGAGATAGTAAGAGCAGAAAGGCCAGGTAGGAGAATCACAGTGACAGGTATGAAAGTTAGAACAGAGTAAAGGAAGAAATTGAGCTAACCGCAAAATTTTCCTACTTCTTAATCCCTTATAAAGCAAA